CACACACACACACACACCAGAAACATGAGAAAACTAGATTACCTCTCCTATAGAAATCAAGTGTCACATATGTAATTCAAAAATTTCTAACAGCAACATTAAAAAAGCCTATAAAGGTAGAATTAATTTTAATGAGATATTTAACCCAACATGTCTAAAATGTTATTTCAACATGTTATTATAAGAATTATAAATGAAGTATTTTATGCTCCTATTTCATACTAAGCCTTTAAACTCCGGCATATATTTTATACTTGTAGCACATCTCAATTCAGACAAGCCAAATTACAAGTGCTCCATAGCTGTGTATGGTTAGGACTGCTATATCGGATCGTGCCGATTTAGGAGAGAATGACATGTTCAGTGAATTTCAGTTTTAGCGAAAAGAACAGGTAAGGGAGGACGTAGAAGTTTGGTCAGAAATGGCATCCAGGGAAGCCACAGTAGAAGCTTTTCAACAGCTGGAGGATGTTAGTGTGGTGCTGTCGCACCTTTTAATTTATTTCCTTTCTGTTTAGGAAGGCCTTTGTCGTCGTCGTCGTCGTCGTCGTCGTCGTCGTCATCATCATCATCATCAGAAAAGGATTGCAACTCACCTTGCTGCAAGACAGAAATACATCAGAGGAAGAGAGAAAGCCAGAGGCTGGGGCCTCCAGCAGAACCGTGAAAATCGGCACAAGGTCAGAGACAGCACGTTTGTTCATGCTGGCATTTGGCTTTACGAGAGTGGCAGAAATGCCCCTCTGTTGTGTTAAGCCAATAGGAGTTAAGGGTTTACCAGGTTTTAAATTAGGTAATTAATATACGTTTTCTACCAAGCCTCCAGAAGGTTCACTGAAAGCTCAGTAAATTGAATTCCTAAATTTTGATGTAAGAGGCATCCAAAGGGTCATGTTTGTTGTTCCCATCCAACTTCCTCCTTTACCTTCAGTATCTCAAAAACCTAGAATTCTCATGTACTCTGACCAAGCCACTGTTTTGGGGCCAAAGAAACTAAATTCCACATTATGATTATAGACACACAGCGTAAGAACTCGATGGGCCTGAAGCTCCTCATTTTCATTAGGATCTCAGCTTCATTTTGGATACAATCTTCCAGGGACATCAATGATGAGAGAGAATCATTGATCAGCTGCCTCCTACATGCCTTCTCCTCCAAGCTGGGGATTGAGCTGGCTACCTGGGAATGTGCCCTGACCAAGAATCAAACTGTGACCTTCTGGTTCAGAGGTCAACCACTGAGTCATGTCAGCCGGGCAGAGCCACACATCTTAATGAACTGTGGTGTTTCTCATCCCTAACCTGTGCTGGATAAACCTTCACCCAAAACTAATACGACCTGCATTATTTTTTTATTGCTGCATAACAACCCAAATTGGAATAGTTCAAGGAGGACTTAAAAGGGCACTTCTTACATAGATGTGAGTTGGGTGTAAGGTGACTGCAAGGGGTAGTTGAGTAACAGATGGAGCTGTAACTGCCTTTAGGCCCCAAGGAACATGGGACAGAAGTTAGGTTTTTACATGTCATCCAGGTGCAGGAATTAATTTTGCCTCTTTTCCTCTTCAAGTGTCCAGGTGTGAATGCTACATTATATGATCATGTTGGGTATAGGTTAAATCCAGTTGCATCATTATTCAGATGGAGATGGAGTTTGCTGTAGGGTATGTGAAGTGAAACAAGTCACCACACTCTTCACTGAACCCTCTCTCCTGGTTGCCCTGTGGTCCTAACCGTTCTTGACAGATGTAAGGAGAAAAATTAAGACCTTATGAAGTTAACAAGAACACACCTACCTCCAAAACCTGGATCCTATATGGGGCTTTTCTTCATCTTGGAGAGCTTTTCATGACAGGACATACAGATCTCCCCTGTTCCTTAAAACTTCTGCAGAGTACTCCATAATTTATTTAACCATTCCTCTATTGGCAAACATTTATTATTTGAAGTTCTTTATGGGAACAATTAGAGGCCCAGTGCACGAAAATCATGCACAGGTAGGGTCCCTAGGCTTAGCCAGCGATCAGGGCCGATCGGGAACTTCCTTCCCTGGCTGCCTACTACTGGCTGCCAGCAGAGACCTTCCTTCATTCTGGACCACCCCCTGGTGGTCAGTGCACATCATAGCAAGCAGTCGAACTCCTAGATCTCCTGGTCGAATTCCTGGGGGGACACTTTGCATATAAGCTTTTTATATATATAGATGCTTCAGAGACCATCCTTATACATGCTTTTTGTGTAGACGTATGAGTATTTCTAGAATATGTACTGTATTAGAGTTCTCAGCTACAGACAAAAAGACTCCATTCTGGCTAGTTTAGGAGAAAGAAATGTATTAAAATAAATGGGTTAGTTCACAGAATCATTAGGGACTAGAGAAAGACATTCCACTTTAAATATGAAGGACCAATGCCCAGAACTTCACTGTCAAAATGTGCTTAGATTGCTGCTTCTGGCACTGACCCCAGAACTATGAGGCAAACCAACTTGATGATGAAAAACAGAGGTTGACACCATTGCCAGTATTCTTGCTACAGAATGGAAAACCCAGGCAGAGCTCGCTCGCGCTCTCTCTCTCTCTCTCTCTTTTCACTTCTCACTTTCTGGGTTGAAATCCTAAGTGGATGTGTCTAGTCGGTAACATGCCTGCACCCCAGCTAATTCCAAAGGAGGCCAGAGATTAAAAACAAAAATCTACCAGGAAGGCAAGCCTGGTAATATGGAAACTCATCAAAATGTCAGAAGGCTGCTTTAATGATGTAGTTAGGCTCATGTGACAGATACCAGTCCACTGCAGGTAACAAGAAGTAGAATTGTTTGCTGGAAGGATATATGCATCTAAATGATGGCACACCCTGCTACACTGACTTCCAGAAATTATAGACCAATTTTACATTGCCACCTACAGTGTATGATAATTCTCTTTACCTACATATTCTCTAGCTATGGATAATATCATTTATTTAATACTTATGACAATTTTTGACAACCCGAAAGTGAAAAATAGATCCTACCTTACTTAATTTTGCTTTTTCTAAAAAACAAAATCCCCAAATTTTTTCATTTATTAGTCATTTGTTCTTTTTCTGAGCTATAGACAAATATCTTCTGCCCATTTTTATATTAAATTGCATTTTGTTTGTCAGTGTTAGAATATCTCTATACATATATTCTGGATACTGATTTTTTTTAAAATCTGTTACATGTGTTAAAAAATATTCTTCCCAGTGTCCCTTTTACTTTCTTTAATATATTCTTACTGATTTCAGAGAAGAAGGGAGAGGGAGAGAGAGATAGAAACATTAGTGATGAGAGAGAACTACTAATCAGCTGCCTCCTGCATGCCCCCCACTGAGGACCAAGCCCAAAACCCAGGCATGTGCCCTCGACCAAAATGGAACCCGGGACTCTTCAGTCTGTAGGCCAATGCAGTATCCACTGAGCCAAACTGACTAGGGCTATCCCTTTTCTTTTCTTTTTTTCTTTTTCTTGTGGCTTTTAATGGATAATCTTTTTAGAATATTTTTCTTGCTCAGGAAAATGTCATATCTTTTATTATAAAACATCTTCCTGTATTTCCTTTAAAATAATTTAATAGTCCTATTGCTAATCTTTAACTTTTCAATCCATCTATAATCCTTTCCTTGTGTGTTGCTGAGGTAGAAACTAAGGGTTTTCCTCCCAAAAAGGAAAGTCAGTTATTCCTCATATGAATTGAGGATTCCTTTCTTACCATGTATTTTATCCTCACACTATATTTCTGCGTCCGGAGTGTCTATTACATTACTCCATGTTGATTGACAGTCCAATGGTACTTGCTTGCTCCTATACCACAGCTTTAATTATAGAATATTTATAATGTATTATTAAAATTGGTAAAGCAATTTAATCCTCATGTGTAGAGGATAACATTATACTCCTCTGGAACATGCTGAACAAATGAGGTGACTAGGATATGACAGATCTCTTCTCTTAAGGAGACTGCCTTGAGTGGGTAAGGCAAAACTTCCCTGTGAGAGACAATGTGAGAAACAGGACAAAGAATGTATCCTCAGCATGGAAAACATAACGAGGAATATTTAGATGAGGTGCTGAAGAATTCCAGATCAAAAGAGTATGCGAGAATTTTTTTCTGGAGAAATAATTCTTGGTGGCAAAATGGTAAGGTTTAATGCCAGGTATAAAGTAACACTGCATAGTTAATATGTGACTGGTGATGGCTTTTTCCAAATTGTACGGAGTGTCCTTTGGCAAAGGCACAAGTATAGGATAGAGCAAATTAGGATCTAGTAAATTCCTGGTAGGACTGGTGGTAGTTAAACAAGTATTGTAGCTACGTCTTGCTTTGGCTGGATTAGAAATCAAGAATAAGAAATGTGCTAGCATGTAATGGAAATTTGGTTTATGGGGATTTGAAAAACGGTGATATGAAAGAACTGATTCTTACTTTATGTGGAAAATTTGAAACAATGCTGACCTATCCAAATTTTAAAAATATATGTATGATATTCTTATTACTGCAACCAGGTGAGAGAAGTGAATTAGACCATATATACTTCACTTTAGTTGGCAAACAGAAGCACCTACGATTGCAATTTTGATTCATGAGAAAGTAGTCTTATTCCTCAAGTAAAAATCTGGAGAAACAGCCTGTGCCAGCATGACTGCTGGACTCCACTCTGTAATGTTCAGAGGGACTTGCCTTCCTGATTGTGGATTGCATTCTTGAACTCTCATGGCTTTTCTCCCACATTTAGCTCTTCCCCTGGTCCTCTTCCCCCACCACATCAATCCCATCATCATCCCTTTCTCAGCCCCCTCTCTCCTCATCTCCTCAGTGATTTGAGGTTCAAGGACAGGAGATGGACCAGCAGGCGGAGACCAAATGCTTTCCATGGCCATAACATTCATTGGAGACCAAAGAGGATACAATGCTCATGTCTGAGAGAACCTACAAGGAGGAAGAAGGGATGGGCCATGTGCAGGTATCCTGGGCCCTATCTCAGGGTGAGCTCTCTGGGAGGAGAAGAGCCTGGTCATCTTTCTCTGACAGCTCCACTTCTGGCAGCAACTGGTAGATGGGTCCTTCAGTGTGTGTATCATATGGAGCTTCTTGAGATCCCATCAGCTTCGACCTGGGTCTGTAACAATGATGCCAAAAGGAAGAGATGCCGTAGATTCCCAGCAGGCACAGAGCATTGACCATCACATGCCAGCAGAAGAAGGTGGTGACAAACATGATGTCACTGATGTCATCATCCTGCCACGGATAGCCGCTGATGGGTCTGTACAGAATAAAACCAGCCTGCATCAGCCAGGAGCCCATCATCAGAAACAGGAAGGTCTCAGTCATGGAGAGGTAAAGCGCGTTGGGAGCCCACAGCTCAGCAATCAACACCAGCATCAGCAGGAACACCACCAAGATGAGCAGGGAATGAACCTGCAGTTCCACCCCTGTGGAATCCTGAACGTGCGACACCAGCAGTATCAGGAGCACGCAGAAGACCAGGACCAGGGCACCTTTTTCCAGGAGCACACACCTCTGAGGCAGCAGGTTCTTGCTCGTGACATCTACACAGCCATTGAGGGTGAGGAGGATGAACATGGTGAGGTGCTGCCACTCTTTGGGGAACAAAAATCTCGGTGGCACTTCCCTGCTCATCAGCACCAGCCCATCTTCAAGACAGAAGATGACGTAAATTATAAAGATAGAGCCAGTCACTATTTTCAACAAACCTTGGTAGGATATTTCCCATAGCCTGGCCCATATTCTCTTATTTCTTGGAGGGCGTGAAGGATACAGAAGAGAGTCATTGGCTATGGAGGTCTTAAAGACCACTGCTGCCTGATACAGCCCATATGAGAACAGATACAGCCCTGGGTACACATGACCATTGAACTTTCCCATGAGATTACAGCTCTTTCTGATTCAGGCGTGAAGAGCAGAACTCAGAACCTCGCTGCCCTCCTCTCTTTTGAAGACCCCTTCAAGTGTTGGGCTGTCTATAAAGAGCTAACTTCTACCTACTTTTATTACCTCCCTCTGCCCACTCTTCCCAGACAGAATGGAAGGTTCTGGACAGAAGCCTACACTGTTGTTGAGGTGGGTCTCATTGTTCCATTCCATTCTAGTACACTGGGAACTAACTGACTTTTGCCAAAGAAGGGAGATGATTATTTCCTGGTATGCACCTGTGAGAAGGTGTGTTCTCGTGAGCTCTGAGTTTGGGCCTTTGAGATGTTTCTGGTCGCAGCTGTCCCTCTCTCCCACGTGGCCTGATTATCCAGATGAAGTCTGGGTTACTCACAAATATTTGCACGTCTGTTAAGACTGTACCTAAGGCAAGAGGTTTTCTTTAGAGGGTATGGTAGAGAACAAGATGCATGCTCTGAGCACATAAATAGTCCTGGATCTATTGTAGTAGGTACATGCAATAGGAGTTTCTCTGGGCCTGATCATTGTGTTGAGGGGAGAGGAAACTCATTACTCAACATGAACCGTGGTGACATCACACAGTCTTCATAATCATCTCTCCTCACGGTGAAAAGCAGAACCATGGGTAGAGAGGCAACACCCATATGCTGATAGTGCCCCCAGTGGAGAGGAGGAGGTTTACACCTAAGTCACAGCACTGCCTGAGCCCTCAGTCTTACCCAGTCATCTCCCTTTTCTACACCCATTTATGTCAGGAAAAAAAAACACATCTATTCATACCCTTCAGGATGAGGGCATTTCTTATCAGTGGGACAATGGGGATTTGAGTGTGAAAATGCTATAAGAGAGAGAGAGCTTAAGATAGTTTTACAAAGGGACTTGCCTTCCTTATTCCATTTTAACTTCAACTTCCTTTTCCTTACACAAGTGTGGTATAAATTGATTACATGTTCACTGTACTCATTTCCTTTTCTTCTTTTGTATGCTGATAAACTACATTTCCCACCGTGCCTACAGATAGATGCAGCCCTACACCTGAGTTCTAGCCAATGGAGTATGAATGGAAGTGATATATATACATGTACAGTATTACTTTCTGGCCTCCTCCATAAGAGTGTCCCTAGTGTACTCTTTCCTTTCCTCTTGTTTTATACAGAATATTATAGCTTATCTGAAAGTCACACTTGAAGATAGAGGAGCTCCAAGGTAAAAGGAACAGGTTTCTGAATTGCTTCTTCTAGAAGGCCTATACACGCTTTAGAAATATTCATTCTGGACTGTATATGCTCAAGAACACTTTTGGTTAAACAATGGAAATGTTACACTTGTTTATTTTAGCATCCAATTTACCCAAGCTATTGCAAAATTAATACATAGCTTTTTGCAGAAAAATTTGGGAAAATCCATAAGCAAAAAAAATTAGAAAAATAAGCACCTGCCATTCCAAACACAATGATAATTGCTTTTAACATTCTGTTGTAGAACCTCAGCTTTAGGAAGGCATGGTTTGAAATGGAAAAATAATGACTGGCAATTGAGAAACCAGGATTCCGGTCCAAATCTCTCCCTAATTAGCAGAGCTTCGATTTCTCTATTAGAGAAAAGAAAGAGCTTTGGCATCTGTGTTCTCTAAAGAGATGGGGGAGTGGAGAAGAAGAAAGAGGAGAAGAACGAGAAAGGGGGAGAGTAGGAGGAAAAGAGGAAAATGTAGGGGTTATTGCATAAAAAGCAGTAACTTTGGTACCCCCAATTTTCCCTTTTCAGCAAGTGGTCAAAACGCCCAGAAAACTTCTAAGAGCTGAATGCTTAGGGAGAGGAGGTACAAAGGAAAGTGTGAGTACGACCCTGTGATGGAGAGGGCCATGGAGGAGAAAGCTCTGGGACTCTCTTTGATTCTTGTCTTTGTTGTGGGAAATTGCTGAGCTGCTCTGAGGGGAGATGACCTCTGTGCAGCAAAATCCATTGCTCAACGAAGAGCCCAGGCATGTTTCTGTTAGCCCGGTTCTACCTAGAGTGGACTGAAGGTGTCAGAAGTGGCTGTAGCCCTTGCCAGTTTGGCTCAGTGGATAGAGCATTGGCTTACAGACTGAAGGGTCCTGGGTTTGATTCCAGTCAAGGGCACATGCCCAGGTTGCAGGCTCGACCCCCAGTAGGGGGTGTGTAGGAGGCAGCCCATCATTGATTTTCTCTCATCATTGATGTTTCTATCTCTCTCTCCCTCCCCCTTCGTCTTTGATATACATACACTGAGTGGCCAGGTTAATATGATCTCTGAACACATAATAATCTAGCCACTCAGTATATATATTAGAGGCCTAGGGCATGAATTCGTGCATGGGTGGGGTCTGACCAGCCTGGCCAGGGGGAGTTGGCCGGCTTGCCTGCTGGTCGAACTCCTGATCATGGGGACAATTTGCATATTAGCCTTTTATTATATAAGATATACACTGAGTGGCCAGATTATTATGCTTTCAGAGATCGTAATAATCTGGCCATTCAGTGTGTGTGTGTGTGTGTGTGTGTGTGTGTGTGTGTATAGTATTAATTTTAAAAAAAAAGAAGTCACTGTTTTCAATCACTAGTTATGTTACTTCCAGATGTCATAGCTGTGGGTCTAAGGGACATAGTGGACATTAAGGGAAGTGCATTCACTTCCTGAACACCACATTTGTCTCCACCTTTTGACTATTCCTGGCATCGGTGAGCCAGTGGCCAGAGGAGGAGAGAGAACAGCAGCGCTGATCCGGCAGTGATGCGAAGTTGAAAATGGCACAGATGAGGACAAGTAGCCCCACTTAAGGTCCCATCCAGGATGCTTAGGCCCCCAACTTGGCCACATACCAACACTTCATGCTGTTCATTGAAACATGAACATCCTGACCTCAGCTTTGGAGGTAGACATCACCCACCCCAAACCAGACACTGCCCACAGGTAGCGGAGAAGAAAGCCAAAGGGGATGAGTGATTAGCAGAGCTGGCAGACAGTCCTGAGTCTGTGGGCACCGAGTGCCTGGGAAGCTGTTTCCCAAGGAAAACTCAGCTTGACCACAGGAGCCCATGGAGGTCCTTCACGGCCTGGCTGCTCCACAGTGGGGCTCCCACAGACATCCCCCCCCCTCCTCCCACACACACACCTGCCTCAACACATTCTTGAGAGTCTCTGGGCTCACAGCCACTACCCATTGTCTGGCATCAACTGTTAGAATGAGCAAGAAAGTCTTCAGGAATTTAGTAAACAGGAATTTACTAAATACTGTGAGATAATCTTGTCCTTACAAAGCTTACAATATAGTGAAAAACGTTGTATATACATGCAGACACGCGCGCGCATACACACACACACACACACACACACACACACACACACACGAAATATAGGAGAGCCGTGGAACTCCTTGAAGACACATGATATCTCTAAGGGGTATAATCTACTTCTGTTGATATTCTTAGCAAGCCCAAGACTGACAGCAGGTGTCATTTGTGAACAGAGGTCAGGGTCTTCAAGGGGTGCTCCAGGCACTGGCCTTGTACTAGCAACCTCTGCCCTGTTTCTATGTTTCGTCTGCAGTTGCTGCATTAAGAAGACCTGGCCTTAATGAAATATCCAGTCCTCAGTCTTTTCATGTTTCAAATTAACTTTAACGAGCAAACAGGGAAAGATCAAGAGACCTGCGACTGGGACTTAGGGGGAACTTTGAAGCGGAAGCCAGGATGGGATGGATGCCCTCTGGAGACAGGCCAGCATTTGCTTTTGATTGCCGCGAACTCTCAGATCTTGTTCATCTGAGCAGCAAACAAGGGGGCTCTAGTCCCAGACACCTGAGATTTCATCTTTTGTAACACCTCTGTGTTCCTCACTCAAGCAATGTATTGAGTACCTACTGTGTGCAGGAAACTTGCTATCCTCCTTCTCATATGTGCACTGAGTAATACCATTAGTGCCCTCAAGGGTTTTATATTCTGCTAGAGGAAATAATATGGACACAAACAGGCACATTAGGAGGGGGACTGAATGTTACAACAGAGGCACAAAGTCCCAGGAACAGTTGCTTCTACCTTGGAGGGAACCGAGGCTGCTGTGTGCTGGAAGTTAGATGGGAGCTGCCCTTTTAGGAGTAGTAGGATCTGGACAGCTATGGGTGAGCAGTGATCTTTCAGGTGGAGCACAGTCTGAGCAAAGGCAGGGAAGTCTGGGAAATGTTCTGGAAATACTGAGTTGTACTTCCCTGTTTTCAGTGTTTTCATAGGGAAATCTCGTAATTTGAGTTTAGTTTCCTCATGGGGCTAGTTCTGTCTACTCAGAATAATTGTGGAGAATGAATGACTTGTAAAAGTAAGTATGTAGATTGTTGTATGTGCTGGAATAATGGTAGTTTGTTTCTCTCATGCCTTACTCTAGTCCCTAAATGGTGAGAAGTAGAGCTTTAGGAACTTGGGGGGGGGGGGGGGGGGAGGGAAGAAGTGGGGGGGGGGCGTGTTGCATGTCAATACTGATGTTTAAATAAAAAAGTTTAGGATTGTCACAGGCAGGCCCCAGTAGAGACGGTTCTCTCCTGCCATAAAAGGGACCTAATCACCGAAAGAACTGCTCTTGGACTAACTGTCACATTGTTCCTGTCCTTGTCACAAACTCCTGGATGCCATGGTCATCTTTCCCAAGTGTCCTGTCCCATCAACATCACCAAGATCTCTTCTTTCAAAGACTTTTCTTTCACTGCTTCCCCAGTTTTCTGGTTGAAGAAGAAGCTGGTCCAGAAAGCTTAAGATCTCAGAACTTAAGAATTCATCAGCTGGTTTTTTCCTTAGCAGAGTTGGTCTTCTGGACTTGTCTCAAGAGTGTTGGGTCTCATTCTGGAGCCATATATTGTCTTTTTTCATTTTTGGTACTTAATTCAACAAATGTTTTCTGTTATAGGATCTTAACTGTAATTCATCCATCGGTCTCTGAGTACTAACAGTGGCTTCAAAGGCTAGTAGTAAAACAGTTAGTGGCAAAACCCCAGTGTCATTCCAAAGTGGTGGTTGGGTGGAGGGCGTGAGGCTGGAGCCGCTGTGTAAGACTTCCAAAGGGGGGGGTCTGGCGTTGTGCTGCCAGCCTTGGTTTGTCACCCAGCTCTAGCCCCTGGAAGAAGCTGAGGTTGACAAGAGCTTGGAAACTGGGGATTTCTTTGAAGCGAATTGTCAGTGCCCTGTTTGTTCTTGGTTCTTCATCCCCACTGGCTTGAGGGAGGCATGAGGTGCACTCCCTTCACCTGGAGCCAAGTGAGATGGCTTCAAGGGTGCTATGTGGAAAGCAGGATATGTGTTCTCTGGAGGGATG